AGGACTTTTGGAAGCTCAAATCCAGGATTCAATGGATCCAGGACGGTGATGCAAACACAAAATTTTTCCACATCACCACCATGCAAAGAAGAGGAAAAAATAGAATTATTTGTTTGAGAGACGAAGCGGGAAATTGGATTCAAGAGCAAAAACCCATCAAGGACCATATTATTGACTATTACAAAAATCTCTGCACCACGGATCATAACCAATCCCTACTCAACAATACCCACCTCTCCTACAACTCCACTATTAAGGACCAGGATCACCCATTCCTTAGTAGTATCCCCTCTATAGAAGAAATTAGGAGGGCACTAGAATCTTTTCAACCTTACAAATCTCCGGGACCGGATGGACTCCACCCGGTTTTATACCAAAAGTATTGGAAAGAGACTAGCAAACTTCTCATAAAATTCTACCAGGATTCCTTCTCAGGGAAAAAAATGCTTAAAAGTATGAATAATTCATTAGTCTGCCTAATTCCTAAGAGTGAAAATGCTGAAACAATTAGACAATATAGACCCATTAGCCTTTGTAACACGGCCTATAAAGTCGTCACTAAGATTATCGCAAATCGCATTAAAACACTCCTGCCCACCCTTATTCATCCTACCCAAACTAGCTTCATAAAAGGAAGAAGGGCTGCGGATAATATGCTAATCAGTAATGAGGTACTACATCACTTCAATAATACTAAAAGGAAAAAGTCAAAAATGATGATTAAAATAGATTTGGAAAAGGCATTCGACAAAATAGAATGGTCCTTTGTGACGACCCAAAGGGTCATCACCTATTTTTTCTTTCATTCCGTGCTTCCGAGGCCTTGAAAACCTCATTTTTACTTGCCTTGATTTGCGTGCGCAGTCCGGGTGCGTAGCCGAAAAGCTTATATGTTAAATTTTGTGAAAATTTTCAAAATGTGGCTTTAAAATGATTAAAGTTGACTTTGGTCAATATTTTTGGTAAACGGACCCGGACCCGTGATTTGACGGTCCCGAAGGGTCCGTAGAAAAATATGGGACTCGGGCATATGCCCGGAGTCGAATTCCGAGGTCTAGAGCCCGAGAAATGAATTTTTCTGTGAAATTATTTTTCTGAAATTATTAAGGAAAATGGAAATGAAAATTGATTAAAAGACTGTGGTATCGGGCTCGTATTTTAGTTCCGATGCCCGGTACAAGTCTTATATATGGTTTAAGCACTTTTTATGAAATTTGGTTGAAATCGGACGTCATTTGACGTGTTTCAGACCTGAATATCAAAGATTTGAAGTTTATGAAGTTAGAATGAAAAATGATGATTTTGAGGGTTGATTCATTGATTTTGATGTTGTTTTGGCGATTTGATCGCTCGGTTAAGTTCGTATGAGGTTGTTGAGTTAGTGTGTGTGTTTGGTTAGGAGCCCCGAGGGCTCGGGAGTGATTCGGAGGTGGTTCGGGATGTTTTTGGCCTTAGAGAAAGTTGCAGAAAATCTGCAATTTTTGCACAGTTGTTCCCTCCTTCGCGATCGCAATCTTCAGCCCGCGTTCGCGTTCCTTTGGCTTTTTCCTCTTCCGCGTTCGCGTACTCGGTCATGCGATCGCATAGCTTCAGCATTTCCTTCAATGCGTTCGCACCAGTAGACTCGCGTTCGCATAGACCAAACTTTTGGACCCCCAGTATTTCTTCTACGCGTTCGCGTTACCATCCACGCGATCGCGATGACCAGTCAGTGGGACGTTTCGCGATCGCATCCCTATTTCCGCGATCGCGTAGGGCAAATTCGCCCAGTTATTTTTAAAGCCTAAAAACAGACCAGTAACGGGATTTTTCACCCAAAACACACGAGTTCATCTTCTCCACAGCACATAGGCGATTTTTAGAGCTATCCATCACCAAAGCTTCTTGGGTAAGTATTATCTAACTCGTTTTCTTCATTTTCTGTCATCATTTATCAAATTCCTAGACCTAAATCATGTAGTTCATGGTAAGAATTGGGGAAAAGGGTAGAATTAGGGCTTTTCAATTTTCTCTGATTTAGACCTCGTTTTGGGGTCGAATTTGAAAACAAATTGTATATCCGGGCTCGTAGGGGAATGGGTGACATGGAATTGGTTCGAACCTCGTGTTTTGACCAAGCAGGCCCGGGGTCGATTTTGGAATTTTTGGAAGAAAGCCTGGAAATTCATATTTAGGCATTGG